CCCGCCTGCCTCCCCCCCACGACTGCCTCCGCCTCCCCTCCCGTCTTGCCTTCTTGCTCCTCGCCACCCCCCTCCCCCTGGCGATGCTCCAGATGCACCCGTCCGGTGGGTCGCCGGTCCTCTCGCAGGCCCCGCCACATGGCGCAATGCCCCTCAACATCAAGGGGATCTTCGAGCCGACCGGGCTCTTCCACGCGTTCCACCCGCTGCCGGCCCTGCAGCAAGTCCGCCCGGTGGACCGAGACAGATACTTCTCCGAGTGCTTGGGGTACCTGTCTCAAGAGATGATCAACTCGCGCACTCCCAGCCGCGAGCTGTCCAACGTGGCCGAATGCTACTGCATTGTCATGGTCCAGATCCAGGAGTGGGCCCCCTTTGTGTCCTTTTCGTCGCTGTGCGTCCTCCTGTGATGGTGGAGCGACTCCTCCTCCTCCTCCTCCTCCTCCTCCTCCTCTTCCTCCTTTTCCGCCCTTTCGCCTGCCCTCCCCTCCTACGTACACACACACACATACCACCATGCATCGAGTGCTGAGCATCCCCCCCCCCTGCAGGTTTGACGGTCTCATTGGCTGCCTGCTGAAGTTCCTCCCCGCCCCGCGGCAGCTCGAGGGCCTGGCGCACTCGGCCATGCTGTCGGTGGCCGCGCAGGCGATGCTCACCTTGACGTCGCTTTTCTCCTTCGTTCGGGACCCGGCCGCTCCTCTCGCCCTGGGCCAAGTGATGTTTCCCTTGCAGCCGGGTGAGTGCCTCGCCGCGCGCCGGCATGAGTCCCTCTTCCAGCGCCTGCTGGCAACCTTGTTGGCGTACTGTACCCTGCCGCTGCCGGATTCCATAGCCTGGTTCCATCAAACCGTTCGTTCGCACAGGGGGCCCTTCTCTCCTTTTCCCTTCTTTTGTCCTTCTCTCCATGAGACCTCCTGCTCTCGGCTTCTTTTCCCCTGCCCCCCCCCCCCCCCCCTCCGATAGACACACGCCCACATGCACATCCTGACCATCCCGCGGGCCACTGGGCACTGACCAACGCTTTCCCCCCCCCCTCTCTCTCTCTCTCTCGGGGCTCTCCCCTTAGGCGGTCTCCTGCTTGACCGAGCTGGAGCGTATCATGCCCTGCCTGCTTTCAATCCATGCCATTCCCCTCCGGGATTCGCTGGCCCGCTTGTCGACTGCCGGTGCCTCTTCCCTTGTGGCGGTTCTGGCGCTGCTGATGATGGACATCTCCCGCAATGCGCTTCTCATCATGGTATGTCCCCACATGGGCTTGACCGGACATGCTCCATCCCGCACGCGGGCTTTCCCCCGGCTTGGCGACCCACTGGCCTTCGTTCTCTGACACGCCTCCACAGTCGCCGACCCTGCCCGATCGGCCGCTCGAGCAGCCAGCCGCCCGGGAAAAGACGGGCGGCTTCTTCGGCCTGGGGCTGCCATCGCCGCCCTCGCGCGACACCTCGGCACACCGCGCCGCCCAGCCGCCCACCGACCAGAAGAACTTCCAGAACTTCATGCTGTCCGTGCGTTTGCCAGCTTGCTGGGGCTCCGCCCCCTGCGGCAGAGGCCCCCCTTGCTGACTGCTCCCCATGCGCCCGCCTGTGCAACTCCCTCGGTCAGGTCTATCGCGCGGGCCAGACTCGCGCCATCGAGGCCTGCCCGACTTTTGCCCCGGCCCTGTTGCTGGCCTTGATCACGGACTTCTTTGCATCCGACGCGCTGGCCCCCTTCACCCCGACGCGGGTGCGCCCCCTGCCCCTGGCCCGGGACTTGAACAGCCTGGCATATCGCCTATCGACGCACTTTGATCCGTGCCTGCTGCAGGCGCACCTGCTGCTGAGCGAGCTGCTCTACTCCTTCACGGCACAGGGGGCCGCCGGAGCTGGCCGAGCGCCATCCACAGCCACGCTATCCTACGAGGCGGAAGACCAGCTGGAGGAGGCCATGAGCTCGCTGGCCCTGCGCATTTGCCTGTTCGCCAACATTCCCTGGATGTGCGCACCCCCTGATGCCTTTTGCCACCAGCGGGGGCCGCAGGGCGGGAGGCGAAGCCCCTCCCTCTCTCCCTCCCCCGCCTCCCCCCCCCCCCTTTCGCCCCCAGCTTGCGCGACTCTGCCCCCATGCTGACACGCGTGCCCACCAGCTCAATCCCCGCGCGGGTGCTTACTCTTTCGTGGTTGGAGCAACTTTTCCGGCGCCAACTCTCCCGGTCTCGGAGTTTGGAGCTCCTGGCCACCATCGGCCTGCCGCGGGCACTGCCCTTCCTGCTTCCCACCTCGGTCGATCCGGTTGGCATCCGCGCGGCCAAGCTGCGCGTGCTGCTGTATGCCTTTGACAAGGCCTGTCGGCTGGGGCGTCTGCCTGAGTCCGGCCCGGCCGATGGGGGGGTCGTCCCCCTGGCGGGCGACTCGGAGGCCGACAACCAGTGGAAGCTCCCCCTCGCGTCGAATCTCCTGCGGCTGCTGGAGTGCCTGGACAGGGACCTGCAGCGTGAGGCGCTGGCTGGTGCGGTGGCCGGGTCCCGGGCCGAGGCCACGACCTTCCTGCGCCCGGCCATGGTGGCCCTCTTCGACACGCTGGAGCTGGTGGTCCGGCACTTCCCGGACTTTGTGCCGACATTCAGCATGTGCGCAATGCTCCCGCCCCGGGTGGCGGCCTGGTCTGCGCCTGCCTTTTGCGCCGAGACGCCTGTGTCTCCCCGGCTTTGCCCCTCGCTCCGCCGATCCGCCCCGCCACCCCACCCCAATCACCTGTCCCTGCTCTACTTTGTCTCACACCCATGCACATGCTCGCCACTTCCCCCCCCCCCCCCCCTTCCGCGAGCAGATACACCGTGGCTCGGATGATTCGACTCCCGTCGCTGACGCGCGGCGTGCTGGACTTCATTCGGCGCATCTCAGCCGGCGACGGTCCAGCCGATGCCGGGGCCCGGCGCTTCCGCCAGACCCTCCTCAGCCAGTTTGTGGCCTGCCTCCGGTCGGGCTCGCTGCGCATGCAGGTTGAGTACATTCCCCTGTGCACTCTTTCGCTGTCAGATCGGTTCACCGACCCGGCGGTGCGTCCTCGGCCGGCCCCTTTCGCCACCGCCCTCTCCCCGTGGTCTGGGGCCACCTTTGGCGCTTCGTGTTGACATTTCCCCGCTCCCTCCGTGCCCTCGCTCCCCGTGTAGCCGGTGATCCTCTCGCTCATTGGCGCCCTCCGGCTCCAAAGCAGCCAGTGGTGGCGCAGCCAGGCCGGAGCCGATGGCCTGCTGCAGCTGGCTCGGGCGGCCATCATCACCCATGCGACCCCGGTGCCCCTGGAAGCCCATCTCCCGGCGCACCAGCTCCAGGCACAGGCCGAGGCCTCGGCCGAGGCCGGGGCTCGGCGCATTCGCGGCCCGCTGGCGGCTCTGCTGTCTCTGCTCGCGCGGGGACATCCCTGCGCTGCGGCCCGGGCCGACGCGCGCTTCTTGCACACGCTGCTGGCCCGGCTCTCGGCCGATCGCCTGTACTCGGTTCTCTCGCCTCTGGTGTCCAACCTGACCGGCAGCGCGCAGGAGACCAGCCAGTCCGCCCTCATGACGGCCAATGACATTGCCTTGCTGCTTCCCCCGACGCGCGATGACACCCCGGAAGACAGCAACATCGTGATTGAGACCGATGTCCCGGTGCTGGCCCTGCGCCGGGTGGTCTGTGCCGCCGGGAGTCCCGCGGCAGGCCCCGGGGCCTGGGCGGGGCTGCTCTTCGAAGACCGGTCTGGTGCTGACTCCGGCACTCCGGCGGTGCTGGACTATCTTCGGTCGATCAATGGCCCGGGCCGGCGCTCGGTTTCCCTCACACTCGAAGTGCAGATGCAAGGTGCGTGCCTTCGGAATCGGATCCATATCGGCTCCTTTCTCCCTTCCCCCTCCCCGCCCCTCGCCTCTGATCGATGTGCTTGCTCACATGGATCTCTTCGGGCATTTGCCCCTGCCCCTGCCCCCTCTGATCCGGGCGCCCCCAGCCAACGCTTTGGCCCTGGCCTTGGCCAAGTTCTCCGACCCGGAGGCCACCACGGAGGAGCTCCAGGCGACCGAGTCGCTGGCGCCGATGGGCAAGCTTTTTGCCGCGCGCATCGGCCTGTCGCAGGCCCACACGAACATTTCTCATATTGGCGGCGATGCCCGCCCCACCGGCCGTGTCCAGGCCCAGCCGGCCATCCTGCATCAGCCCGTCGAGCTGGAGCTGCCATACTTGGAGGAGACACGACACACGGCCGAGGCGTCGCCCTACTCGACATGTGCGCGCACCGAGCTCCCTTTCGCTCCTTCTTCCTCCTCCCTGCCTCCCGTCCCCCCTCTACCTCCACATGTCTGACCGGCTGCCCTGCCGACAGCCACGTACGCCCGAGTGTCCCTGCCGATCTCGGCCCCGAGCCCCTTCAGTCTTGCCGCCTGCATCTTGTCCTCGAGCACGGTTGACGGCCGCACCCTCCTCGGACCGGTGACCATTTTGCCGACCCTCTTCGACGCGACCCCCGGCACCGGGTCGACGATGCTGGCCGCCGGGTCGCCGGATGCCGATCGCATGGACACCGCCGCTTCGCTGGAGCTCCACTTTGAGGACCTCTGTCGCCCGCTGGGCTTCGAGGTGCGTCCGCCAAAAGCGACCCTGTCCGGGCCCCTCACATTTCAGGCTATGAGCTTTCGCTCTCTGACTCCCCCCCTTTCTCTCTCTCTCTCTCTCTCTCTCTCTCTCTTTTTCTCGTTTTCTGCTTGGCCGCCCACTCCCACTCGTCTCTTGCCAGCCCTCCGCCCTGGCGCCGATCTTCGACCATCTATGGCACTGGCTTGGCAGCCTGCTGCTGAGCGATCTGGACGCCTCGCGCTCCTTTGAGGCCGGCCCCTCCAGCCAATGCTCCTTCTCGGCCATCAGCGACAGGTACGCACCTTCACCCCGCCCCCCCTCCCCCCTCCTCGTCTCCTTCTCTCGCTCTTTCGGCCTCCCCTCGCTCGGCACACTCATCAAGACGGAACTCCCTCCTTCCACCCTACCCTCCTGTAGCCACCCTGGCATCGAGCCGTATGAAGCCATCGTGCGCGTGTCGCAGAAGAACTTGCCCATGCTGCTGCGCTTCCTCAGCCCGTATGCCGTCCCGCGGGAGACCCACGGGTCGGAACCCGCCGGCGGGGCCGCCACCAGCGACTACCTGGTGGCCCTCCCTCCGCGCTACCACCTCCTGCTGCGAGTGGACACCCCGGCGAAGGCTGACTCCGGCAATCTGCTGGCCGTGGCGCCGCCACTTCCCCAGGCGGCCGGCGACCGGCTGGCTGTTCGTGTGCGCACTGACCATCCGGCCATCCTGGTGCATGCCACCAGCTTTTTGAAGCGCTAGAGAGGGCGCCGTGTGTGGGTGCAGTTTCCCGAGCCCCGGATGGGCGCCCTTGCCTCCCTTGGCCCCCCCCCCCCCCTCCCCCGGTCTCCCGTCCTCCCGCTCCCTGTTTCTCTCCCCGTGCCTCTTCTGTTCCTCGCGCCTGAAAAAAAAATACACAATCCCCAGCCGGGAATCCCCGCCCCCGGGTGGTCGCGCGCCGGCGTAGCCCACAAGCCTGTGCTGCCTTTGCAGCACCGAGATGCTCTCCATTCTTGGCCGAGGGAGCGCCAACCGCGCCATTTCCCCGACAAAAATGGCCAGGCCCTTAGGTTGGCGAAAATTCCGGCTTCTGCCGAAATGGCCCTCAGGAGGAGCGTCCCTGTGCGTGGTTCGACCCTGCCCTGGTGGCCCTGGGGGCCCGGCCAGTGTAGAATGCCCAATATAAATGCGGGTCTTTCGGCTGCCGGAGCTGGCCTGGCAGAGTAGGAGGGAGTGCCCGCGCCCCGACGTTCGCGCCAGTCTTTGCTGCCAGTGCACTCGTCCTCTCCCCCCCCGCCCTGCTGGGTGGGAGTGCAGATATTTCCGCATAACATTCCTCCCCATTGTGGACTTCAGCCTGTATTCCGTGTGATGCGGGCGGGTCACTCGCGCGGTGGAGCGCCCGGGCGGGGCGGGGGGGGGGGGGGGCGTGGGCGCGCGACGGGGCCAAGGAGCCTCGGCCCGTGGGCGCGCGCCCCACGCATTCGCCTGGGAGCCTATCTCGGGGGCCGGGAAGGGTTCTCCTCCGGCAAGTCGAGCGTCTGGACAGAGCAGATCTTCTTGCGAGGTGCTGATGGGGTATCCTACGGTGAACGCCGGGTGGCGGGGGGGGGGGGGGCCAGAAACGGGGGCCTGTCTCGCTCCGACCTCCGCCCCCCGCCCCCACCCCCCGGGGGCGGGGAGGCCATGGCCGGTGGGGCACGTCCCTGCCCGCCGGGAGCGGGGTGCCCAGGGCCTATCTCCCGCCCACGAAAGAAGGGCTGCCCCGGGGAATACACGCCAGCTTGGCGGCCTCTTCACGAACCGGCGCGCGCGCGCGCGGGTGTGAATGTGCCGCGGAGCGCCCCCCGAGCGTGCTTCAGGGGGGGGTCGAAGCCGTTCAATGGCCGCCCTTTTTCACTTTGGCAGCTCGGGATAAAAGGGGAATACCAGCGACCGGGCGCGTGTGTCTGGCCTGGGGGCCGTCGTGCAAAATGGCCCCCGCCCCGCACAAGGGATATCTTTTGTCCGAGGCCCCGGCGTCTTTCGGAGAGCGACGAGCGGGGGGGGCTAGGGATCTTGCGCCCGGGGCCCCCCGGTGCGGGGCGATGTTTGGCCCAGCGGTCACCCAACAGGGGGGGTGTGGGGGCGGGGCACGCGCCGAAAACGCTCGGAGATTTCTTTTCAGGCTGCTCCCTGCAGGCATGTCGGCGGACGGGCAGGCACCCTCTCTCAAACCTCCCCCCTTATTCCCCCCCTCCTCCCCCCCCCCGTTTTCCCACCGCCTCACCTTCATCTCCGTTTCCTCCCCTTCAGGTCCCCCACCTTCCCAGAGTCACGATGCTGAAGCGCATGAGATCGCGCGTCGTCAAAGGCGGGACCCCCGCCGGCGGCGAGGAGGAGGAAGGCAATACCTTCAACTTTGAGTATAAGGTTGTCGTGCACTCGGCCGACATCGTGGTCGCCGACAAGAATTGGTAGGCTCTCCCCCCCCGTGACCGTCCCTCC